GTGGAAGGTGTCCCTGCCCATGGCAGGGGAGTTGGAACTAGATGATCTTTAAGGTCCCTTCCAACCCAAACCATTCTATGAGTCTATGATTTCCAGTTATGCCCTCTTCTTTTCTAGGTGAAAAGAGGGAATCTAATAGTGTCATATGCTGCAGAGAATGAAAAAGGGTGAATACGGGTAACAATTGGCATTTAACTGCTTTCTTAATGCAAAAGTCCATAGAGTGTTCTTAAAAATTATTTTCAGTTTAAACACAATGTAAGTTATCCTTTTTTCTTTCGGGGGGGGGGGGATTAAAATTTAATACTCTCATTCTGAAAAAAATACAAACTTGGTTTAATCTAATTTTTTACTCCCATTATGTTAAAAAATTAAGTAGAGGTTACAGAAATCTTTCCAAAAGCATGGAAGAATTCTACTAATAAATTATAGACTTTCACTAACTTTTGTGCTATAAATACAATTTTTCTGTTACAATCAACCTTTTAGAAGACTAATATGAAAAATCTGTGTCTGAAATAGGCCTGAAAGACTGAAGGACGTAGTTAAAATGTATACTTGACTGTCTCATAACACAGACACGCTAAATAGCCAGAGTTTTAAACTAGGAAAGTATTATTGACCAAATAAATACCTTCTAATATGCTCCTGGCAAAAAGTGGAAAAATCCACTGACGGATCATTACAAACACAAAATTGCACTAAGCAGATAGCGCCTGTTTAGGAGCTGTCCCTTATTCTAAATTATGCTAATTCTCTACAACCTTTAAGTGTATTCTCTCAAGCAACTTTTCAAGTACTGAACCTTTATAATAAATTAACTTATAACTCTGTAATCCTTCAGTATTTCTGCTTCATAACTGTGTCACTCAGGACCACGCACCCTTCTTCAATCCTAAAAGGAATGACTTAGAACAAACTTTCAACTGTACATGTTTGAGATGCTTCTGAATGTTGTTTAATAATTACCATTGAAAGCCCCAGACTTTATGACATGATCTTCTGAAACAAATATCACTGAGGTAATGAGTGGCATGCCTTTGAGGGTTTTTTCCCAGCAGACACAAAGGACAAATATCATATAAGAATATAACATAAAACTAGCCTTACTGAGTCAGACCAATAGTTACTAGCCTGGTATCTCGTCTCCAACGGTAGCCAGTAACAGATGACTAGGTAAGAGTATAAAAATAGAGTTATCACATAGTGAAACATCCCCCAAATACTCTCAAAGTCTTCAACAATCTATCATCTCCTGAATCTTTCTTAGTTGCGATTTACGTTTTTTGAGGAGACCAGAAGTGCACACAGAATGCAAGATGCAGGAGCACCATCAATACATATAGTTGTATAATGTGTAATTGCACTCTGGTTTTTATTCTCTGTTCCCCTCCTGACAATTCTATACATTCACTTTTGGTTAACTGAGCACCAAGTTGACATTTCAGTGGAACAAACCACCACTGCTCCATCATTGTCAATTTGTACTGAAGCAGTGTCTGCAGGCACAGTCAGATGTTGTACTCTACTGTGTTGAAACTTCAAACAAACATTAAAGAAAGATTGGGGGTGTTTAAAAAGGCAACAGGTGCATGGGAAATACATATATAGAAAATATATTAAAATATCAGGGCAATTTTACTTTTTCAATAATAAGCAAGAGATACAAATCACCAACTCTCATTGGAATTATTTTGTAAAAGTTTTTGCTACTATCTAAATAGCTTCCAGTAAAATATGATTAAAAATTAAAGTAGCACAGAAACATAATGAAACAAAGACTGTGATTGAGTCTTTTCTGTTTCCATATGACTTACTTTGATCTGAGTGAGGGAGTCACCAACTTTCAGAAGTTTTTCATTGTAATACCACTCTGGCAGTCGAGGCTTATATTTGATCCAAATATTAAACAAAGCATTTGCTCTAAAAAAAAAAAATACAGGAGAAAAGGTTTCAGATTAAACTGGCAGTAGACCTGTCATAACAAGTAAACAAATCAGGAAAACTTCAAATTGCGAAAACCCCTTTCATCCAAATCTATTTGAACCTCTACCTATTTCAAAACAAGTGCTTATTAAAACAAGCAGCCAAGGACATTTCTGGGTTTCATTTCTGTCACCAGTTTTTATCACACATTTAAAATATGATGAATTTTCTGCTGTGTAAATTCTTATTTAAATGGCCTAGTATTAATCCCTTTGCATTGTTCAAACATGGTCACAAGTGGAAAATCTGTCTCACCTTTCAGCTGGTATTTGAGAGGTTCTGTCTGAAGAAACAATTTGATATTTTAAAGAAACTCAATGGATTACAGCTCACAGCAATTATTGGACTGGAAACTACAAATGCTAAGAGCAGGAAAAAAGATCCCAAAATAACAACGCATGTCAGGTAGCAGCAAACTTAGGAACTGGTAGCCATGGAATAAACCATAGAGCTATAGAGTATATAGAGCTATGGTATCTAGAGCTATAGAGCTCATGGTATATAGAGCTATATCATGAATCACAAAAGAAGAAAGTCATTAGGAAGCCTCTCGGATGAACTGCATTTGGCATGAAATATTCAGGAATTTTAAATCATAAAGGGTAGGATTCGGAGGGAAGCAAAGGACACATTTGTTAAAATAGAAAGGATTTTATGGCAATAGTTGCAATGCTATTCTGTCGCCTCTGCCTGCTATTCTAGCCACAGTTGTCATCAAGGATGAGTTTGTGTAACAAATTACGTATTTGGCTGAACCAGCAGGCCTCCCATAAATGGTAACTGGCTCTAAGCAGTTTGCCTCCTCTACAGAGGAACTGACTACATCACTCCAGTATTATAGTCCCTACTGATTGCTGTTTGATGGGTTAGTGCCTTCAGGTGTACAACTTTCCCACACTTGACTTCTTTAAGAAAGCTATAATCAAACTGGAAAACAATAATTGATCAAACAGACTGATAATAAGCACAGGGATTTTTCAGAAAAGAATCTCATTACCAAATTATTAATAGTATTGACAGTGTTCACAGTGCCAGGCATCTCTTACATTTATTCTCTTAACAAATCACTTGTACAGAAACCTCAGCAAAGAGTGCCTTGTGAAACCCCAACAGCTAAATTATTCATAGGTAGCAATTTATGAGGAACAAAAACAACTGAAGAGAGAGGAATTACTGCTTGAAAATAACCTTCTAGCTGAATTGTCACATGTAAACCTTGTGCTAACTGGTGTGAGGTAGCTGGAACTTTTCAATCTCTTAAGACAGCGATGGTAGACTAGAATGCAGGCTGCTTTCTTAAGCTGTGTTCTGACATTCAGGATCTTGGCATCCATTCTCACAGCTTCCCAGACAGCTCTTCATTTCAGCTTATAAGAAGATTCCCAATAAAAAAGCACAATAAATAACATCTTTTTTCAACAGAAAGCTGCGAGCCACCTTCACATTTCAAGGTGAAACAGATGGCTGTATGAGAAACCTGTCAAAATGATCTTTACACGAAAGAATTACAACAATCATAATGCTTTTTTTTTCTAAAAGTATCATCTCAGCACAATTCTCAGTTCTTGAAAGTAAACAACGAACAAATAAGTAGGACATTCTAGAGGTGTATCCTAAAGGAAAAATGCAGTAACAGCACAAACTAGGCCAAAAGCAACAATCTGAATAAAAAGAGGTAAGGCATTATGTTTTTAAAGGAAACCATAGCCCAGTCTAATGAAGAGTGCCTTCTAAATGGGAAATGAGTCCCTCCTGGTCCATCCATAAACCATTAACAGTCTGGGTGGCTACTGACTTCTTATACTGAGAGAAGTATCCCACTCCAGTTAGTAGGGATAAATCTGCAAAGAGGCTCTAAAAGCGAAGGAATCTGTCAGGCATCTGAGCAGAGTTCCCTTGGACTATCAAGGGAAGAAGCTGAGGAAAAGAATTCCAGAGTCCAAGAGCCTTGATGGATACTACTGGGTGGGGAGAAAGAAGGAAATATAAAAAGGTAATTATCAGGTTGTAAGGCTGTAAAGTAACTGATAGTAAGAATGACTGTGGATAAAGCTCTGGAAGGTAAGACTAATAAACTGATCAGCTGGAAAGCCAAGGTTAGTGAAGGTCACCTTCTTTTTTTGTTTTGAATCCTCATATTAACACATGAGATTCTTAGACGTAATAAACAAGCAACAAATCTGTAATAAACTAGTTTAGTAAAGTAGTGACAAATCTGACTAGACTTTCAACTTCAATAGGAAGATTAAGGTAAACTCTATCTGCTACAATGCCATGACTAACTACAAGTGAGTTCATGACACAGAAATGCTTCTTTGACACAGACAAAGGAGGAGAGCGAGACGCTTCCCAAACAGCTCATCAGCCATTCTTTTAAACAGGCTGTAGGACACCAGAATAACAAGTTAAGCAAGTGAATTCTTAAAAAAATACTGGGCTGTCAGAGGTAAGAGGTGAGCTTTCTTCATTTCCAGACACTCTATGAATAATAAAAAAATTTTCCCTAAGGTCAACCCATAATAGTGTGCACAGGGTAAGGCCCACATGAATATACTTCTGGGCCAAAAGTCTTTACTACAGGTAGTAAAGGAGTCTCTGATACTGATCAAAAGATGTCTTACTAAATAAGGGTGGCTAAACCACACAACATGAAATAAAATCAATATTTCAAGGTAATCCTTTTATGGCCCCATTGCCAATAGAAATGGGGTAAAACAACTTCTCATTTACTTAAGGGAAAATACTTTTCATTGCTACTTCTTCTGATTGAAAACATTCATGATTCCAGTACAGGGCAAGTCCTCAGTGATTTTTGTTTCTTACATTAGAACACTGTAAGTGCCTAAATTACAGCCTTACTGTTGATTTATCAATACCAAAGGCTGACAGCATTGGAGGAATGAAGCTGACAATTTTATTTTTCTAAACTGAACTTGCCATCTGGAAGCTGGTTTTCTTGCCCCTCTAATAACGAGAACACTTTGATCTCAACCCATGCCAGAAAAAGTAGCTTGACAAAGGACACAGCAAGAAGTCTTTAGAGCATTTAGCAAAGCACCTGTAATAGCCATTACCTTCAGAAATACTTAGAAACAACTAGACTAAGGCTGATTCTGCAAGCAGCACACGCTCCAACTTTGAGTTATCAAACAATGAAAGGCAAGGGAGAAACAACCCTGAAATTTCATAATCACAAATAAATACACATGACTGCTAGCTGCCTGAACATATGCTAACAATCAGAATTCCAGTCTTCTACCTCTGTACTTCCCCTATACGAATGAAGAATGCCAGAGGATGCAGAGCTACTGGGAACTTCATGTTACGCAACGTTCTCAATGCCCTGGAGTTTTCATATGGGTCATCACTACCAGTGACTTCTGGGATCAAAAACCAGGTAGCATTAGTTCTCATCTCCGTGATGAATGCTGCAGAATTCTTTGGATGAGAAAATGCTCTCATGCCAACTGAGTTATGTGTGGACGTGGGTCACATCCACAAAATACCACTTTGAAAAAGACAGAGCCTATTCAGGTCACAATATTCCAGAGGGTAAATAAAGGCTTGGAGACACTGTTCATAAAAACTGGTAACTTGGCATGACATTTACAAACAGATCAGATTCAGCAAGCCCAACTCCTAACCGGAAGATACAATGAATGTGTAGAAGATACAATGGATGTGTTCATTATCAGCAATTTTGGTGGTGTCTGAAGCAGCTGAGTGGCATTCCTTCCCCTAAGGGGCCTAAAGAGGATAACTTTCAAAGTGAGAATACAGATCACCTAAAGCAAAAAAAGGTCTGAAGCTATAAATGAAAGGCTTAAAAATAGTAAAGCACTGAAATCGGCTGCTGAAGCAATACAAAAAGTCAACATACAGAGCTTCAAAACACTAGAGGCAAAAGCTTGGAGACTGATACCTGCATGATAGATCTAGGCCTAGATCTGAGGATGAACATGCCACATAAACAAATTAGAAATCCAGATGGCTTAGAAAAGGGAAGATCTCCGCTGCAGACAAATACGAGGCTGTAGAATCTGAGTACCTCCTGAAAATGCATACAGCTCCTTTAGAGAAGGGTCATTTGTGGACTACATCTAGGAAAGTACCAAGTGAAATACATAAGGGTAGAAGCTGCAGGTAAGTGATAAGCTAACTACCCTGTAACCTAACTCCTGTGCTGTTTTTGAATGAAATTTTGATAACCTGGGAAACTTTTATTTTTTATGTTAAAGACCTGTAAATTTAGAATAGAACACTGCTCAGATAATAATGATAGAAAGTCAACCATTTACCTTAAAAGAAGCAGTTGAACTTTTATCTTATAATGTTAATTATAATAATTACAATATATTATTATATTATAATAATATAATCATTATAATGAACTTTTATAATGTACCTACAGCTGTCTACAGCTTCCTCACAAGGAAGAGGAGGGTGGATATTAGGAAAAGGTTCTTCACCCAGAGGGTGGTGGAGCACTGGAACAGGCTCCCCTGGAAGGCAGTCACGGCGCCAAGCCTGACAACATTTAAGAAGCAATTGGACAACGCCCTCAGACATATGGTGTGATTTTTGGGGTTGTCCTGTGCAGGGACAGGAGTTGGACTTGATGATCCTTGTGGGTCCCTTCCAACTCAGGACATTCTATGATTCTACCTAAACGCAGTAGGGAGAGCTACATGAGAAATGCACAGTCTCTAAAAGACACATGCGTGCACTATGAATCACACACTGATTCCAGTTGCTCTATCTTAACTGCATTACAAAATCTAGATTTATGCATACCCACAGATATGCATGTATGCGAGCAAACAAATATGCACAATTATATTTGCCATATGCTCTGCCTGCATCTATGTGTATAAAAATATACCAACGCAGACATAGACATATGCACAAAAAGAGCTGTGTGGTGTTATCCTCATGTAGCCCTACTGCGAGCGCATCTTTTAGAGGCATGTACGTGCCCACATGCATTCACCCTCGCACGCAGTAGCACATGCTGGTGGGCTGCCAGTTGCTCCAGCACTATGAAGGGATTTTCCTACCAGAAAGCCCAGGCAGCTCTGATACAGCCCACAGTGGTGCTGCCAACTTCCACTACACCTCGTGCTTTTTCCCTAAAGCATTAACTTATAGGAAGTGCTGAAAAAGGAGGCGTTAAGATTTTTTTTTTTTTTTTGGGGGGGGGAAATTAAAAAAAAAAAAAAAAAGAATTCCAGCTAGTCCATAATGATGAACTGTAAAGTAGCTAGTACCACTAAGGAAAGAGATTTTGGAGTTATAATGGATAGCTCTAAGAAAATATCGCTTGATGCTAATCAAAAGGGGACTAGGATGTTAGACATTATTTTGAAGAGTATGGAGAGCTGCCATACATGCAGTTTTGATTCCCATCATCTCCTAATGAATACAGTTGGCTGAGGAAAGGAACAGAAAAATGCGACAAGCGCGAACAAATAATTCAGCCAACAAGGAAAGACTGCGTATACCAAGTCTCCTCAACCTATAAAAGAGATGACTCTATGAACACATGACAGTCAAGAGTGACATGAAGAAGTTGAATAGAGAATGATGATTCACCCTTTTTCATAATAGCAGAATTAGAAGAAAGCAAATGAAGACATATTTTGGCCATACCTTCCATATTGAACTGTGAAATTCATTGCCAAAAGATCTTGCGGGTGGAAATGGGTTCAGGAAACAAACTCAGTTAGATACAAATATACAACTCTACAGTGTGCTAGCTCTACTCTCCCCTTGTCATTTACTACTGTCCCCTTTCAGAGGGAAGATACCCAACTTTGGAGTTTTAATCTAGAACACAACAGCTGTTTTTGTGTCCTTCACTGCACCCGGCCGCGGCGCGGACAGCTCCCCGCTGACACCCCCGCGCCGGGAGGGGCGGCGGAGGGATGAAACCCACCTTCATCCCCCGGGGAGGGGCGCTTCGGCGCGGGGGTCGCGTTGTAGCCCCCCGGGGGGAGAGCGAGGGGGTCTCGCACCACCGGAGGGGACCGAGCCGCGAGTCCTCGCACCTCTCTCCAGTGGGTGACAGCGCCATTTTCTTTCTCTGGGGCTACGTGCTGCCAAGAGGCAGCTGAAGAAGCTTCCCGGGCACCGTGCACCATGGCAGCGGCTGGCACCCTTGCTAGCAAAAGCCTTTGCGGTATCGAGGTCATTTGCCGTGCTGGAGGGAGCTTGGACAAGGCCAAGGGGTACCTTACGGGATGGTTTTTCAATAACGTGTTTAGGGATGTTGTTTTGAACTTGCCGGTTGCATCACTGAGCCTGCCTACTGCACGGCTACAGGTGAAAGAAGAAAGTGGGCTAACCCTCTAAACAGTTATATCTGTCTATTAAAAAAAAGGTGGCAAACTAGGAAAAAAAAAGGCCGTATTTATCGACGTTATAGGATGCGGCCATAGCAACCTATGTGTTTTCAACTTCTTTATCGGCATTACAGTAAAGGGGTTTGGGAAGGATCTGAAGGAAACCAGCTATGTTGCCATGTTCATCGTCGTGATGACCATAAGGGACAGCTTAATTGAAAACATGAAAGTGAAAGCTTAGAAATGTGCTGAGTGAGCAACGAATCCCGGCAGGCAGGGCCAGTTGGAGGCAGTTTCTTGACATGGAATGGAAAAGGATCAATAGGAGGGGTAAAGCGAAGCAGTACCTGAAAAATGCATCCATGTACTTCAGAGATGATAGTAAAAGAACTATCCGTTGAACGACCGAAGAGATGCAGCATCGGCATGCTGAATAATGGGAACCAGAAAACACTGCATTAGCCAGTCCAGAGAAATGATGTGGGAATCATTTAGATACTATGGGGAATAAGCAAAAATTTTAATTCATTTATGAATAACATGTCTGACCCATTTTACACACTGATTTTGTATTGTTACCTGCTGGGAGCTGTGTGGCTCCATCACCCAACAGGTATTGTGTGACTATGGGAAGGCATTAGCAGGAATATTACAGGCAATTCATATGCGTGGAGTTAATTCCAGCGACAACAGCATTTAGGTGGGAGCAAATGGCTGAGTGCAAGAGGGAGCGAGTTCCTCAGATTTCTGTGGAGGCAGTAGAAAATGAAGCCTTCAGTGAAAAGACATGGCACAAAGGTGCTGATGCTGGGATTTAGAAATCACTGAGTACAGAGACAAATTTTACAAGACAACTGAAATATGAGAACTTGGCTTGGAGAGCAATTACGGCTACATTGAAAGATTTTGTCTGTGCTTTGCCACGCTAACCAAAGAGCTTCCTGTGATGGGTTCCAGATGACTAATAAACACTGGCCTCTTGTGAAAGGCAGCTTGTGCCACTGAGTCTGCTGGTGACATCCCTTTCAAGTCCCTATGAAGCTGTGAGCTAGTTCGCTTCACTAGATGGTGCTGTATCCTAAAGGGCTGATCTTCACATTAACGGGGACACAGAGATGTGCACTTAACAAAGCAGCAGGACTTACAAGCTTCAAGGGGAACTTGAGAGACTGGAAACCAGACTGCTGAGTAAAACTTTGTGTATCTCTAATATTTGGCTAGCGGATGGTGGACTGAATGTAACATTAGCAGTTTGAATTAGTGTTTCAGCCATAGAAAGAGAGTCAAAGAAACAATAAGAGAAAGGGAGTATAGCCATTTCCCAAAGGGAAGGATTACAGAACTATGTAAAGATAAAGCTTTAACCACTGGGAGGTTAACCAGGGTGTAGCTGATCATCCAGCTCCTGAAGAGTGTTCAGTCTAAAATTCCTGGGTCAGAGCTCGATAGGGTCCAAGTATACACTCCCTGCTAGGTGGAGTTTTAGTGTAAGGCAGGCAGTTGTGACCCTCTCAACACCCAGGGTGGAAAACCGTGGAAAACCATAGCAAGGAACTACACTGCAGCAAGCATGACAACATGTATGTTATTTCAATTTTAGATGCTTACAATATTAATTCATATTTTACTGTTCTGGAGAAGACTCAAATTTATACTTCAGATAGTGTCCATCTAGCATTTAATGAGTCGAACATTTAATGGGTCCAAAACTCAAAAAGGCTTATAGTTAAATGAATAGGACTTTTTAACTTCAGAAAGATTATAGATTCTTCAGAAGCCCACAGCATGCATAATCTGATGTTTACAGAGAAAAGCTTGGTGTATACAAAACAGTAAGAGAGTGATGGCTATTGAAGTTGCAACCATAATAGGAGAGTTTCCTCAAAAAACGAAGTATACATATCAGTACCTGTATGACTTGGAAATTTTATAGCGATTCTTTGAATCACTTATGTGCCTACAACCTAAAAAAATGTGATTTGTTGATTGGAAGACTAATGTTTTATTCATTATTGGTAGGTGAACATTTAGATAGTAATCTGAATTACGGTAAAATTAGGGAGAAACTAGGTGAGATGATGGTCTCATAGGAGAGTTGGCACAGACAGGATCCCAAGAAATGGAATTTAGGTAAATACATTGGCCCAAGCAGAGCGCTCATAGCAACCTGTGATTTAATATTGCCAGGTCAGATATGAGGAAGCTGCCTCAGAAACAGAAGGACCCACAAAGAGTTAACTTAGTAAAAACCCATATAGGAAGTGTCTGCGCTCATGGCTATAGGGCCAAGAGTACGCCTGAGTCAGAAAGGGGAAAAACTTTGCTGCTAACTTATGAAGCTGCCTGCTTACTTCTCATGTGTCAGTTCCACTTGTGTGAACAGCAGTGGAGTTACTAAGAGCAAACAAAGGGGGGAAACACCGTATGATCACAGCGGAGTTGGGCAGGAAGAGTGTCCAGTGGTATCAGGGTACAGGGACTGAGGTAACATCTGCTAAGCCCTATTTCATCCTTCAATCAAAGCTTGTTTCCTGTGAGTAATTCTGAGATGCATGTTCAGATCCCTTCCTAGGATGCTCGTAGCAAATGTACACCTGAATTTTGGTGCCTATAGATTTTTCTGCTTGATATTCAGAGAAAAGAGGCAGTCATGGATGTTGTATTGCCAGGCTTCTGCAGGGTAACTTGACAGTCCCCAGAGATGAAAGAGCTAAATTTACGTCATCTCTTCCTTGATGCTTTTAGAAAAAAAAGTCCGAGTTGAGGTGGTGCTGGGCCATTGCTTAGCATTTTCAGGCTGATAGGCTAATGAAGACATGGGACTTTAAAATAATGTTTAACGTATTTATAGACTACCATATTCAGAACTGGGATCTGCATTTACTCTACTTGCGGTATGCCTGCTTAGTCCTAAGTGCCAGTGAGAATCGGGTTCTCCGCTTTGAGTGGCAGTGCATTGTTGGATTTAAAAAACCAGAAGTCATTCTAGAGAAAGAAGTGGTGGCAGGTATGTGCTGATTCCTATGGAGAAATTCAGTTTGGGAGTTAGGCAAGGAAGACATGGTCAAGGACCGATAGAAACAAAATGTCTTATATGACAGTACAGCATTTGCTATTCACATGGTATAGGGGAATCAGATATGATGCAAAAGAATAGCTCTAAGCTGCCTGATAAAGGTCCTTAGAAACCCAACAGATAGCTGGAAGAGGTGAACTAAGTCGCCGAATGCCAGGAGTATACTTTATAAATGTGATGAAAGTTGTCCAATGGGAGGAGAAAAAGGAAGAACTTGTACTAAGCTTACTAAGCAAACCACTTGCTGGAATCAATGTACCTTTGAAATAACTAACTGAACGGGAAGCAGAGAGGTGCAGCAGATGTGCAAGTTTATTGCTGTCAAAATCTGTGGCACTTGTCTATACCTACAACTGACGAGATAGATGTGGGAATACAGGGCTTTTATGGGCAGCTATGAGGAATTATACTGTCATCATTTCCTTCCCATCCTTCTGCCCTTTGTGTTTTAGAGCTGTTTGGTAGAGCTGCTTGTGGCTTACTAATAGTGAGTGTCTTTAGACTCAGATGCCTTACTTAAATCTGCCTTTACATTTCAAACAGAATTTGTGGTTTCCTACCCTTATCTAAGGTCTACCTGCTGCCTTTCAATGGAAAAGTTAGTAAGGAGATGAGAGAGACACTGTCATGTTTTCATAGCATTTTTATTTTTTGCTGTACCATGAAGAAACATGTCCTGAATGAGGAAGGTACATGCCTGACTTCAAAGTTAGGGAAATGTGAAAAGATGGTGGAAATGGCTTATTTAGGACACAATACAGATAGCAATGTTATAAAAAACCAGCACCTACAGAGTCGGAGGCATCTAAAGAGGAAGGATTGCACTGCTTTCAAACAAAGCAGCAGATCGAGTCCTTTACTGAGATGATGATGCATATTTGTGAAGTATTCCAGCGCTATTCCTGTCACTGAGCAGTATACAAAATTTGTCAAACAACAGAATGGTCTCTGAACTCTGGAACATACATTAACAAGGTAGCTGAACCTTGTGAATCTTTTGACAAGCAACTGATGGTCTTTTAAGATACACCGAAAGCAGATCTGGGACAGTTTTAATGCAACTGAATACTAGGAGAAGGAATATGCTAAGTTTTTACTTGAAAACGGTTCTTGGCTTCTTTTCTGATCTAGTGTGTCAGCGTAGTAAGAGGAAGGGAAAAGAGTGATCAACACGAGAAAGCACTGCAATGACTGAGAACTGTGCAACTGCCAGGTTCTTATAGAGCTGCGTTCGAGTTTGGGGTGACAGTTGTCACTGTGTTTTGGTTGTATCATATGAAAGGTTTCAGTGCCAAATTCTCAAGAGGAAGTGTAAGCTTTCAAGGATATAATATAGAAGTAATTTTTTTTTAATGTGAGTGTGAATGCTTACAAAAAGGTTTTCTCAGTTTCTTTTTATCATTAGGGAAATACTTTTAGGCATATAGATGAATTTCAGTTGATTTGCAGAAAATGTGTTACATGGGAGAAGTGATCTTGTTCAGTTGATTTTTTTTTTCCCCCAAAGAAAGTGTAGGAATGTGTAACATTTGTGTGAACAATCTGTGAGATTTGACTCACCCACTCAGGCGGTATTGTTATGCATTGAGTGGGTTAACCGGTCTTTGGGGAGGGAGATGCAGCAGTTTTTTAATATAGCTGCCTGAGTTTGTAAGA